TATGTAATTCTGTCACACTTATCTCCATGGCTGATCTTTTATTTGCATATTTTCAGAGTTTTGATCTACAAATGGATTTTAATTTGTCGACTTTTGCAAGAACAGCCTTGTGGGAGTGGGGGCAGGTCATGCATAATCAAAGAGTAAAATACAGGCAGAAGGAAGATGTAGAGAATCTGAGCTGTTTCTGTATGAAACGCAATTACCATTATTATAATTTCCTTGTACCACATAACAGCCTTACTATGCTGGGTGCCATCCACATTTAGAGGCTTTTTGAGAGATCTGACGGATCCCTATCTATGCAAATGGTACATTGTCTTATAAACTGAACATGACAAATTTAGGAATGCTTTCCTCACTGCAGCAGATGGCTTCATAGAGAAGAAATTGCTTTCTCAAGGACATTGTGGTAGACTTGGAAGCATAGCCCACTGACCTTACACACAGCTCAGGGCGTGAACTGAAATGATTTCCATTTTCTGTACTAAAATGTGTTCAATAAAAATCCAAATGAAGAAAATTCTACATAGGATCTCTAGCTAGAATTAGATGATGATGGTGTGGGTACCTCTGAGACTATAAGATAGAGACACTTTTATGGTCATGTGACCAAAAAAGCAGCATATGTTATGTATACACAGAGCCAAGGCCTTCTTTCAGCATTGACATTACATGCTAAAGTTGGCAGCAGTGTACACCCCTTACTGTGTCCTCCCAGGCACTGCCTGCCTATGGTTTCCTTCCCCTATTTTCTAGGGGTCAGTGGGAACTTCATACAACCTCCACTCCACACACAGTATGCAGAATGCAACTCAAATTTCACAAACCAGTATCAAGTCTAATCTCCATTAGAACCATTGATCTCATTCTTTACCTGGAACAATCATCTCCAGAGATCAGTAATTTAAGTACATCTATCTATTGTGGATAACCCAGGAGTCCTAAAAATGAAATAGTTTCTCTGATGTAAGCAGTGAGATTCAATAACCATTAAGCACATAAGGACATTTTAATATATGAAGCATATGAGTATCCAAGTCATGCTATCACCAAACCAGTCTCTTTTCAGTCATACATGGACAAGAAGGACAGGAAGAGCTGTGATCCTCACAGAGTGCTTTGGACACTCCACGTACTCAGATCTCACACCACTGCAAATGAGGCACCCATGGTAGAGAAGAGCAAAGTGGAGAATTTGGCCCAGTATGTGAGCACAGGCTGCAGCGACAGTTACTTTTTTTTTTTTTTTTTTTTTTTTTCCCCATATATATGCACAGAATTAAAAAAAACACTGTTGGCAAAATGCAATAACACTTCAGATAAGAAGATATTACCCTTACAGTCACATCTACGGTACTCACCAAAAATTGGGGAGGGAAAAAAAAGCAGGGAGTCATTCAATAGAAATACTGTCCCCACATCCTTTTCTAGATCTCAGGGTTTCACATGAAACAGAATAAATCATATGCTTAGCAGTTCTGCTCAGCCCAGTACAGCTGCATGCTGCAGGTGGTGCCCTAAAAATACGTTTGTTTATTTTGCATCACTGCAGGCTGCAAAGCTGCACTTAAGGATTAAATAGATTCCACTTCCTCACTCTAGACCCCTTTCTTTCTTTTTGACTTGCTGGAAGAGGATGGTAAGATGTAGAGATAAACTGATAGAAATAAGGCTCATCTCAGTCTCAAAAGAATCAGATGGGAGGTATTAGTATGAAACACAAAAAGAAAGCTGACAAGCATAGTGTGTGGCACTGACATTTTGGTGGTGTGCCATTTACAGAGAACTCCCATGAAAACATTACAACAATTGAGTGAAAATCAGTGGAATTTTCTTCAAAATAAAATTCTATAAAACTGAGACAAAATCAGTCAGTGGCGGAGCAATAAGTAATGTTCTGAAATGGGAATGGCTACTACATGGACATAATTATGCATTATGTGGTTTTTATTTTTCTGATAGAAGGATTGATTGATACTACTCTACAGAGGCTGTAGTCTCCGACCAGCACCACCTGATGAACTAAGTGCTCTGTGGCATGAGACAAAAGACTGCTTTACAGTCCCCATTATCACTGTGGGTTATTCCAGCCTGGCTTCACATACATGAATGCTAAATACCCAAATCAGGATAATCCTTGTTTTATCAGAGCATTTCCTTGTATATATGTGATCTCAAGTATTTTTCCCCATTTTGAAACTTTTTGAAACAATGAACATTCAGCTAGTCAAAGCACAGAGTTCATCAACAACAATTATCTGTTACTCCTTCAATGTGTACTGAACTAGGAATTTTATCCAGTTGCTTGCTTATCCTGAGTAAAATCTACTCAGAAGAAGCTGCCAACACATCTGTGTATCATCAGGTCTGCCTCTCTTTAGTCCTGAAGGTAAGCATTATGCTTTTCTGACATTTGGGATCATTGGACCTTCAGGTCCAAATGTTTTTATATGTAGCTTTTATTTAGGTATTGTATTCTTTCCACTAAGTATTCCATAGCAAATACCACATCTATGTGGAGCCTAACCTTCTGTACCTGGATTCCACATGAACTTACTAGCAAGCAGTACAAAATACAAGCATGATAATGTTTTCAAAGACTAATAAAAGTGGGTCTCAGCGAACATGAATTTCTTTGCAACTTTTTATCTATAGGCAGTAGAAAATACCCTTTAAAACATGCTGCAATGCCACGTTTGTGAAAAAACCAAGATCAAGATTAGTTTGATCATTGTCATGAAAGCAAAAACAGAAAGCAAGTAACCAATTTGTAGGTTGCAATTCATAGGTTTACTGTTAAAGTGCAAGATCCACTTAAGTGCCCATAAAAGAAAATTGAAAGGAAAGATTAATTTCTTTCTACTAACTGGAGATAAATCTGACATAATGTTTGGGTTTGTTGAAAGCTAGTTTACTGAAAACCAAGCAAATTGTGCTCCTCTAACGTTGTGTTATATGTCACCATTCAGCACCAGGTAATTCCTCTCTTTCTCACCATATTTTTTATGATTGTGACATTATGCTAACATTTCTCTTAGAAAAAGAATCCTGTGCCCACAATGAGAAATGTAAAAATGATGTAAACACTAAAGGTACAAGCACCAGGTTTGGAAAATTAACCCATATTTTACCATGGTGCTCTTTATCCATGATACATTTACAGTGCCATGAATATAAAAGTAGCTGTAGTTGGCAACAGTTACAAGGTTACTGGTGGTTTGTTATTTTGAACCATTCCCCTGTCTTGCTAAGATCGTCCTTAACTAGAAACACAGCTCTGTTTAGGCATATACACACAAAAAACCTTGTTCCACTGAGAAGATAATCAAGCTTGAAATATATATTGCTTTGGGTTTCTTGTTCATGATAATTGCATACAAATTAAAAAAAAAAAAAAAAAAAAAGTAGAAAAATAAAGGTCTGGATATCTTCTTTGGAGTTCAGCTTGAGTGATAATAATTGCTTGTAAATAAAGTTGTAAATCTATAAAGCTATTTTAATCTATTTACTTACATTTATTTCTTTACACTTTTCTTTCTGTTGCATTTGCATCAGCTGTATCTAGTCAAAACTGCAGTGAACTATCTGGAGAAGGTGCTAATTTTATTGTACAGATCTGCTTAGTGCCTGCCTTACTAACTGCTTGGTAAGCAGTCTTTTGCTTTCCTACAATGGGGACAGCAGAAAAGCATGGAGGTAGCTGGGCTTTCAGGTGAATCAGACAACAAGCTTCTATACGTGGAGCCCACACAGAGTTATATTGACACAGAGATATATTTTTCTGAACTCACCTGGTCATTTATACTAGACTGGGGAATAGACAGATAGAGAAGCTGCTAACTTTTTGGGTAGCTGACAACCACATCATATACTGGGGACTGTCCAGCTGCCTTACACTAACTTCCGGATATGGACTACCAAATATCCTTGCTACCTTTTTGCCAGTATGGTCCCTCCTTGGGCAAAATATTGGAATCTTTTGGCCAGAAGTAAGAGGCACTGCACCAGATGTATATGTATGACAGTTTTATTTGCAGTCATTTATATATATATATTTCACTGGATCAAAAACATGTAAATATCACTAGGGCAAACAGAAAAATGCAGCTTGTCATTCAATGCAACTAATTCAGTATTTATGTCACTTTTTTACCTTGCTGAAGTACAAGGGACAACACAAGGAGAAATGACTAGTAAGGTTAAATGTGGCTTAAGAACCTACCAAATTCTCCCTGAACAAGATGCTTTATGTTCTCTCTCTTATTTTATTTTATTTTATTTTATTTTATTTTATTTTATTTTATTTTATTTTATTTTATTTTATTTTATTTTATTTTATTTTATTTTATTTTATTTTTATTCCCTGCACCTTGACACTGGATACCTACTCTTCTAAAAAAGATTTAAGACCTCTGCTTTTGATTTTGATATAAGAAGTACAATACTTTCTTCTCTTGGGAAGAACCTTTCTCATTATCTTCAAGTGCATATTGGATAATATGGTTAAAGACAAATTGATCAGTTTTCCTGATTAAAGATGGAAATGTCATTTGACTGGTCAGATATGAGGCTTGTGAATGGATTAGTGAATCGAGTTTTACTAATGATTTTTTTTTTCCTTCATTTTAGTTTTTGTTTTATATTCAATTTGGCTTTCATGGGTATAGCTGTAACTTATTATGTCATAACTTATATCATATAAGTGCAATTTGAATGCAATTCACTGTAGTAATATGAGACCATTGGTCAAAATGGAGTCCAGTAGGACACGGTGCATCACGACAGTCAGTTTTGCAGTGTTGGGAATGTAATCTGGAGATTTTCATGTACAGATGCCTTGAATTGGCTGAAACACAATGATTTTGTAGGAAAACTTTTAACGCTCAGAGACAGGGTCTGTAAATCAATGTTACAGTACCCCACTATAGTGGTAGTAACATTCAACAAGAAGAAAGTTAGAAAAGACAATGAGAGAGAGGCTATCTATAAACACTTACTGCAAGGAAGATCTGAAGAGAACTGTGAGCCACTTCTATGTACTGATACTCAAGAAAACACCCCGAGACAGTGATATAGCGATGATCCTCTGGTGCCCAGTCTGGAGCTGGAGTTACTGAAGTCACGGTGCAGCCTGGCCCGTTCTCCATCCACCATGAACGATGCATTGAGATATTAAAGGTCAGAATGAGATCTGTTTCCTGCAAAACAACAAATGAAGAATTGATGCTCTGGGATGGTGCTCCGGTATAAAATGCCTCAGCTAGATATTTCACAGCATGCATAAAGAAGCAAAGACCAGCAATAAAACTGCACTGTCACGTGAAAATTAGTTGAGCTTGCCTGTAGCAAGCCAAGTAACTGTACCTTGACAGGCCACAATCTTCTTTCAGACATTATACTAGCCTGGACTACACAGTCATTCTTGTTCACTGCCTATTCTTCTACAGAAACAACAAAGACTGATTGATGCGCACATTTCCACAGCAACCCTTCTGCACTCATTTCCTAGTAATATGGCCTATATTTTTGTAATGTGATCTAACAAACTGTACAAGAGTAGTCAGAACCTGAGACTTTACTAGGTGTGAGTCATGGACTTTACTATGTCTGGATCACCTGCAAGGAGCTTTTTACATGTACATGGACACTGCAAAGCAGAACAGTGATGGCTCTGCTGAAATATTAGAGAAGGTGCAGAAAAAGGATCCGTAAAAGCACTGCATTTTTGTAATGTCTTCTTCAGTCTTCTAACATTGTAGGAATCTGTAAGGAAACAGCTAGTGTGCATTGCCTTGTCTAAAGATTGCCCAGCTTGTTAAAAAAAAAAAAAAGACAAAGAGGCCTACAACCTTCAAGTCTCATGCAGCTTGTACAAGAGAGCTAGTGCAAGAGAGTAACAAGTCAGCCATGCTTTCCATTAAGATTACATTTATAAATAGTTCATAAAGGATTAATGAATGATTAATATACATCATAAACAATACTACGGATATGAATTTCATAAATTTTACTTGGTTGCACATTACTTGAGGGTGCTATACATAGTTATAAAAATCCTATGGACTTTGTGGATTCTATAATAGCCTAACAACCCTTTATAAATTATTTATAAGTGTAACCTCATTGTAAAGTGTGACTATCTAGTCTGTGTGCACATGTGCTCAGTCATGCAAAAAAAAAATCCTTTTAAGTAATGTCTTTGCAGAGCCAAACTCTCCCCACACCTAACCTACATTTTTTTCAGCCTGTTGATGACATTAATAATTAAGATTCTCATAAAATTTTTAAAACATAACTATTTAATTAGTTTTACCATGACAAAATGAACAGAATGCTATTCTGTGACAGATATGCGGTGTACATATTTCCCTCATTTCAAAAATAGTAATTTTTTCAATCTCACTTATTTTCCTTTTGTGCACTAATTCAAGCAAAAGTAACTTCATCCTGTGAGGTTTTGGACAATGCCATGACTGACACATCAATCAATCTGTGAATACACTTTACTCTGTAGTATTTCTGATTTTTTAAATTTATTTATGTATGTTGCAGTTCTCATCTGTTTGCATTTTTTATATTTAAAAAAATTATACTTTAAAAAATTACTACCCTTCATAAGCTATCAGACGACAAGAAGGACCATAAATATTTTTGTATGAATAATTATCCTACATTCTCACAACAGCATGATCCAGCAAATAATAATCTGTGTGTGTAAATATGTGGTGATTCAAATAATTGAATGACATTGAAAGGTGAAGAAAGTGACTGCGAACTTTAAGATAAATGACCCAAATTTTCCAGAAATTGGTATATTTACCTATAACTATAACCTTTCACATCCAAAAAAAATTTTCCTTTCTCTGGACCCCTCTCTAGCAAAGGTGCTAGTCTGGTGTTTACCATATATTTCTTGGAAATGGGTATTTTCCCCCAAAACTCAAACCAGAAGACTAATTTTCTTTCTGGACTCAGTGCTGTTACAGCTACTTGCTGACACACTGACCTGTTCACCTGCTGTAAGAAGTTGAAGAATGAGTATCTTTGGAGTAACTTTGCTTAAAGTAATAGATTTATTCCTGAATGACTAAAATCAAAATCAATCATGTTATTGTCAGAAGACCTTTAAATCATTCTAGTTACCATGGAAAATTCTTAATCTCTAGTCTTTTATCAGAGCAGCAGCATGAATGAATACAACTTAGTCTGTTTTTATTTATTTATTTTATTATTATTATTATTTTTATTTTTTATCATTGGCAATATCTTTAGAAGAATGATGATAGATTAAAAATATTTTACAAAGTGCAGACCAGGGTTGAAAAAGAAAGGGATAAATTGGCTGTCAGGAACCAAGTATTTGTTATGTATCTGCCAGATGATGTTAAAATGGATTAGGAAGAGCTAAACATAAAGATCAGAACTGGTCTCTGTGGTTAGAGCATCATTATTCTGAAGACAGCTATGTTTGCTTACAAATGGTGCAACAGTCCAAAACTTTACAGGTTAAAAGCAAAAGTGCACAGTAAATATAATTACACATTGAAATATTTATAATTGCACATGCAAACAAACTTAACAAAGTTTAGCTTTCTTCCACCCCAGAACTTACTCAAAAATGATTTTCTGAAATAATATAAAATAATGAAATAATATTTAGAAAATTCCCTTGTCCTCAAGTCATCTTTTGGCAGTTAAATTGAATGTCATGATTTAGACTGAACAATGTTGTTTTGTTCATGAATAGTCTTTTAGTGCTTACTAGTAATAAATTACAGTCTTTATCAGATCTATGTTCTATTTCTACCTCTAAGCAAACAGTAAAATGCTGTGTTATTTCATCTGCTCAGAAAAGAGACTTATCAGTGTTATAGCACTTAATTCTTGATATTAACAAAAATAAATGACTCCAACTGAAAGCACAGACTTCAAATCTTAAAGAAATTTGAATACCATGGTTAAGAAAACTTTCAAGCAGGGTCACCATTATATGCTGAATTAATTAATAAACAAGGTCAACATTAAAAAGCAAAACAATTAAGTAGAGTCAAAACACGGTTCTGGTAAGATCAGACATCATCCATGTTTCAGGGCAAATTTAGCTCAAATAAAAATGTTAGTGACATCAGATCTTCACAAGTTAGGCCCTGAAAATCCTTATCCCCAAAATATATGAAATAAGAATAATGCAGAAGGAGCCTATTCACTGCAAATTCAGATGCTGAACAGTCAGATCTTTTCAGATATAAACTGATAAGGGCTTTGATCTTGTCTATAACCTTCGATCCATGTACCCCAGTATGCACATATATTAGCAGAACATTTCCTGTTGTTTCGAAGTGAAGGTCATGCAGCCTATGAAAAAAAATTTACTTAGTGAGAAAATTGATAAGGACTTAAATCTCCTGGTAGAACTGTGTAAACCAGGGAGGATGATGTATCTATCATTAACATCCCTTATGCTGTAAAGATTTAGAACTATTCTTGGACAAATTCCTCTTGCTATTTACTTTGTTCACTTAGAATACAGTTTTAGTGGACACAGACAAAGTCTACACTGGAAGCAGGGGATTTTTTGTACTCTCCAGTGTATTTGCTGTCTGTTTTCTTTTCAACATCTGTGGCTCAAACAGTATTCAGGGAATTACAGCAAAATGGTCTAATAAGCCCTGAAGCTATGAAACTCAGCAAGAACTGTTGATACTCATTGGACATGCCAATATGGTGTTGTTCATAGTCTGTATGTCAAGAAAGATTCCATTATCCTAAATTCAACAGCTGCTTCCTTCGTGGACACAGAAATACATCTGTATGAGCTTTATTGATGATCACTCTGATGCTTTTGTAAATCCTGCTGATATTTGTAAACCCTGTTAATGAAAATTGGTGTATTAAAGTAGATTTATCTATTCTTCAAGGAGTGAAAATTCAGAAGAAAATATATTAGTAGGACATGCTTCCTGACACTCTTAAGATGTGTTGGTATTTGTAGTGGTCATGAGCAGAACTACTGAGTTAGACAAAGACTAGAGTTTGGAGGTGTCAGAGACTCTGACCTCAAAGATTAGAAACTGAGACATTTTCAAATTAAGTCTGTAATTTCTTTTTATGTTGGTTTGTAAAAAATGTTGAACTCTGATGATATGTGCCTGTGTTTAATAGATAATAACTTTTGCCTGAGTTAACCCTTCCCTTCCCTTCCCTTCCCTTCCCTTCCCTTCCCTTCCCTTCCCTTCCCTTCCCTTCCCTTCCCTTCCCTTCCCTTCCCTTCCCTTCCCTTCCCTTCCCTTCCCTTCCCTTCCCTTCCCTTCCCTTCCCTTCCCTGCCCTGCCCTGCCCTGCCCTGCCCTGCCCTGCCCTGCCCTGCCCTGCCCTGCCCTGCCCTGCCTTGTCCCTTTCTCTTTTTCCCTTTTCCCCTTCTTCTTTTTTTTTTTTTTTTCCTTTTTCTTTTTCATCCACAGTCGATATACAGGAAGTAATTATTGTATGATTGTGTAGAGAACACAGATACTAAAAGTACACAATCTTTTTATCCTATTTCATCTGAACTAATTTTAGCCTCTCAGCTTTTTCTTACATGTGTAACTCCTTCTCCTCCATGTGAATGTTTTCTATTTTTTATTTTTATTTGTATTTTTTCAGTAAACTGGAATTCTGGATTTTATTTTCCTCTAACAAAACAATTTTTGTACCAGCTTAATTCCAAATTGAATGTAGAATTTCCTTTACATATATGAGACAGGATTTAGCCAGTATGATTCCACCCAACAGATTTACTTCTGAAGTTCATCCATGGAAAATAGCAGAAGCTTCCTAACTCTTAGCTGTTTTCAGTATTCTGTTAAAAATGCTCTAAATGTATCTTAAGCAATTTCCAGTGTATAGACAAAGATTTGAATGAATGACTTATAAGGATACCAACATAAAAGAAAGAGATGACAGGTGTCCTGATTTTCTTGTCTAAAATGAAAGTAGTGTTACATTAACAAAATACCGTAGTCTTCAAAAAGCATAGCTACTGAGATACAGGGATTAACATTGTAGTTTACTATTCCATTATATGATCCCAATCCATAATCGTATGAAATTGGTAGAGCTGCCATCAGTATTATCTTAACTAAGATCTTTTTTTTTTTTTTTTTTTAAGATCATAGTTTTCTAGTGTTGAAATATATATATTGACAAAACTAACAAATTTG